TAGAGCTAATCAATGAATTTGGTAAAGTGGCAGGATACAAAATTAATGCACAGAAATCTCTGGCATTCCTATATACTAATGATGAAAAATCTGAAAGTGAAATCAAGAAAACACTCCCATTTACCATTGCAACAAAAAAAATAAAATATCTAGGAATAAACCTACCTAAGGAGACAAAAGATCTGTATGCAGAAAATTATAAGACACTGATGAAAGAAATTAAAGATGATACAAATAGATGGAGAGATATACCATGTTCTTGGATTGGAAGAATCAACATTGTGAAAATGACTCTACTACCGAAAGCAATCTATAGATTCAATGCAATCCCTATCAAACTACCACTGGCATTTTTCACAGACCTAGAACAAAAAATTTTGCAATTTGTATGGAAACACAAAAGACCCCGAATAGCCAAAGCAATCTTGAGAACGAAAGAAGGAACTGGAGGAATCAGGCTCCCAGACTTCAGACTATACTACAAAGCTACAGTTATCAAAACGGTATGGTACTGGCACAAAAACAGAAAGATAGATCAATGGAACAGGATAGAAAGCCCAGAGATAAACCCACGCACATATGGTCACCTTATCTTTGACAAAGGAGGCAGAAATGTACCGTGGAGAAAGGACAGCCTATTCAATAAGTGGTGCTGGGAAAACTGGACAGCTACATGTAAAAGTATGAAGTTAGATCACTCCCTAACACCATACACAAAAATAAGCTCAAAATGGATTAAAGACCTAAATGTAAGGCCAGAAACTATCAAACTCTTAGAGGAAAACATAGGCAGAACACTCTATGACATAAATCACAGCAAGATTCTTTCTGACCCACCTCCTAGAGTAATGGAAATAAAAACAAGAGTAAACAAATGGGACCTAATGAAACTTAAAAGCTTTTGCGCAGCAAAGGAAACCATAAAGAAGACCAAAAGACAACCCTCAGAATGGGAGAAAATATTTGCAAATGAAGCAACTGACAAAGGATTGATCTCCAAAATTTATAAGCAGCTCATGCAGCTTAATAACAAAAAAACAAACAACCCAATCCAAAAATGGGCAGAAGACCTAAATAGACATTTCTCCAAAGAAGATATACAGAGTGCCAACAAACACGAGAGAATGCTCAACATCACTAATCATGAGAGAAATGCAAATCAAAACTACAATGAGATATCATCTCACACCAGTCAGAATGGCTATCATCAAAAAATCTAGAAACAATAAATGCTGGAGAGGGTGTGGAGAAAAGGGAACCCTCTTACACTGTTGGTGGGAATGTAAATTGATACAGCCACTGTGGAGAACAGTATGGAGGTTCCTTAAAAAGCTACAAATAGAACTACCATATGACCCAGCAATCCCACTACTGGGCATATACCCTGAGAAAACCATAATTCAAAAAGAGTCATGTACCAAAATGTTCATTGCAGCTCTATTTACAATAGCCCAGAGATGGAAACAACCTAAGTGTCCATCATCGGATGAATGGATAAAGAAGATGTGGCACATATATACAATGGAATATTACTCAGCCATAAAAAGAGACGAAATTGAGCTATTTGTAATGAGGTGGATAGACCTAGAGTCTGTCATACAGAGTGAAGTAAGTCAGAAAGAGAGAGACAAATACCGTATGCTAACACATATATATGGAATTTTAAAAAAAAAATGTCATGAAAAACCTAGGGGTGAAACAGGAATAAAGACACAGACTTACTAGAGAATGGACTTGAGGCTATGGGGAGGGGGAAGTGTAAACGGTGACAAAGCGATAAAGAGGCATGGACATATATACACTACCAAACGTAAGGTAGATAGCTAGTGGGAAGCAGCCGCATAGCACAGGGAGATCAGCTCGGTGCTTTGTGACCGCCTGGAGGGGTGGGATAGGGAGGTTGGGAGGGAGGGAGACACAAGCGGGAAGAGATATGGGAATATATGTATATATATAACTGATTCATTTTGTTGTGAAGCTGAAACTAACATACCATTGTAAAGCAAGTATACTCCAATAAAGATGTTAAAAAAAAAATAAAAATAAAATAAAAAAAAAAAAAAAAAAAAAAAAACTAAAAATAGAATTACCATATGACCCAGCAATCCCACTACTGGGCATATACACTGAGAAAACCATAATTCAAAAAGAGTCATGTACCAAAATGTTCATTGCAGCTCTATTTACAATAGCCAGGACATGGAAGCAACCTAAGTGTCCATCAACAGATGAATGGATAAAGAAGATGTGGCACATATATACAATGGAATATTACTCAGCCATAAAAAGAAATGAAATTGAGTTATTTGTAGTGAGGTGGATGAACCTAGAGTCTGTCATACAGAGTGAAGTAAGTCAGAAAGAGAAAAACAAATAGCGTATGCTAACATATATATATGGAATCTAAGAAAAAAAAAAAGGTCATGAAGAACCTAGGGGTAAGACGGGAATAAAGACACAGACCTACTAGAGAATGGACTTGAGGATATGGGGAGGGGGAAGGGTAAGCTGTGACAAAATGAGACAGTGGCATGGACATATATACACTACCAAACGTAAAATAGATAGCTAGTGGGAAGCAGCCGCATAGCACAGGGAGATCAGCTCAGTGGTTTGTGACCACCTAGAGAGGTGGGATAGGAAGGGTGGGAGGGAGACGCAAGAGGGAAGAGATTGGGAACATATGTATACGTATAACTGATTCACTTTGTTATAAAGCAGAAACTAACACACCATTGTAAAGCAATTATACTCCAATAAAGATGTTAAAAAAGAAAAAGAAAAAAGAGAGGGGCCAGAGCGAGTAGGCACTGGCTAGAGACCGGCTGCATTCACCTGAACATGGTGGATGAGTACAGACCCCAGTTCCACCATCAGCTGTGTGACCTTGGGCAAGTTACTCATTCTGTGTCTCAATTTTGCCATGTGTACAATTGGGATAACTTTCTACCTCCTAGGGGTGATGTAAGGATCAAATGAGTTAATAGCTGTAAAGCATTAGAACAGTGCCTGACAAAATAGCAAGTATTTTTACTTGGACCCTGTGGCCGTGGGTCTGGGAATAAATATTGGTTTGCAGGGATGAACAGAGATATGGGGTCAAGTGCATGCATCTTCCTCTGTCAGGAATGCCCTCTGCCTGTCAGAATTCAGCTCTGGGCCATCCCCAGTAGAATTAATTTCCCTCTTCTCAGCATTCCTGGAGCATAGTGCTGAAGACATCTATCCAAGCTAGCGTTTTAAATGATTTGGTTAGGACTAAAGCCACTTTTGAGGTTCCTTCTGCCTTGTATTCTACTTACATTACATTGCCCCATATGAAAGTACCGTTTTTAGGTTAAAAAAAACTATTGGAAATTGCCAGTTTTATATGGTTCAAACCAATTAATGCACTGAGAGTCTGTTTAAACCCTGAGGGAGATTGCTTTGCGTTTTCCTCACCCTACCACTGCCCTCCTGCCAAGCACCTAAGAAGATACTTTTACATAGTACCACTTCAAAACCATATAAGGAATTTGACCGACAGGATGCTGAACCTTCAGAACTGAGGCACAGACCCTGGAAAGAGGCCTTTCCCTCCCTAATAGAGGGGATGATCTCCCTGGGAAGCCCTGCTGATTTGGCCTTCTCTATTTCCATCATTACCTTCTGGAAAGCAGGGGCTCTCTAGGTTTCCTTGGCAACATTTTGGACCTGAGGAGCATAGGGATGCCTGAGCTGCCCAAACCCCACTCATAGTTAGTTCCTCTCCTTTTGATTCCAAGAGGGTTGGGAAAACTGCCTGTGGTTGCTTAGCAACAGTCACCTGCTGATTTCTTCCCAACATTCCCTAAGAAATGAATAAGCAGTAAAATCTTCCAGGTTGAAAGCTGGGCCTGAAGGGCTGGGCCAGGGGGCAAGTGAGACACATGCCTGAGGGCTGGGAGGTGGCCGAGCCCTTAATCACCGTGGGTGACTTTAGGCAACTTTCTTTCAGGACCTTATTCTCCCCAAATGTACAATGGGGTCAGGCTGAGTGATCTGTGAGACCCTCCCAGCTCAGCTGTTCTGATTCAATAGCAGCCAGCTAGTGGTCATTCACTCGCTGCCTTGGAGGGAAGGGACTTTCTGAACTTTTCAGGGTGGGTAAGGTGTAGGACATGGCTGCCCTTAGGAATCTTCCAATCTAATTGGAAAGACAGGTCCCAGACTGTGGATCTGATACAGAGAGATTCTTGTAGCTTGGGGAGACTTCCTGGGGGCAGTTAAGCCTGGGGAAAACAGACAGGCAAAAAGAAGACGGGGCTTTCCTGTATAAATGTGTTTATATGGGAAAGGGCAAGGGTATAGAGGTGGAACTATGCGACACACAGTTCTGATTGGAGAGTCTCTGAAAAGAGCAGTAGGAGCTAGATGAGGATGTGTAGTTTGGGGCAGACTAGAAAAGCCTTGACTGCTAAGGTAAAGTGCTCCCCTCCCCCCCCCATAGTCTCCTTGGGAACCTTCTGATAGTTCTAAGAGGTTAAGTGGTTTCACGCAGATCACTCTAGCTGTAGGGTGGAGGATGAGCATGGGAAAGGGTTCAGGCCAGGTGTTAAGAAGCTCTTGCAGCTGCTCTTAAGGAAGTGACATGGACAAGCTGAAGGAGAGTGGAGAGGAGGAAGCAGATCCAAGGGACATTAAGGGACAGAAGAGTCTTAGCGACTCTTATTCACATATTTACTGTGCGCCTACTATGTGCCAGGCGGTTCTGAGTGCTGTACGAGGGAGAAAGTTCTGAGGCTGAGGATCATGTATTCTGACATGGTGAGGATGCTTAGGGCTCACCCATGGGTGTGTCCTTTCAGGAACCTGGACTAAAAGCAGTGTAGAAGAAGGGCCCTGGTGGCGGTGGGGAATTCGGATGAGAGAGCAGCAGCAGAGGACCTATGTTTAGGGCCCGTTTGAAACTAGCGTACCTAGGAGAGGAACTGTTCAAAGCACAGGGCATGACTGGTAGGGGAGAGGATGGGAATGCTTACAGAGGCGGCAGTAGACCAGCCATGTCTGGATCGGATGAGACCAGAGCCGCGGAGAGCCTAGGGCGGCCACTCAGGTGTCGGCCCCTAGGGCAGTCGGGAGATGCTGATGGCCCCTTCCCAGAGCCGCAGGGCCGGGTAGAGCAGCTCCTGGAAGGCGGCACGGAAGGTGTGCAGGTGGATCATGCCGTCACGTCGTAAAAGGTGAAGACGCCGACCTCGTAGTCCAGGAAGACGCCGAGCCGGTCGGGGTCGTCGCGGCGCCGCAGACGGCTGCGCTGGCCATCGTGGAAGGCCCAGTACTCGAGGTCATATAGTTCGAGGCACCAGGACTGGCGGTTGCAGCCCAAGCGGGCTGCGGCAGAGGCGCCGCAGGGAGCCGTAGGCCGCGCCCACCCACCAGCCGACGCCCGCCTCCAGCACGTCCACTTCCCAGTAGTGGCGGCCGGCGTCGAAGCAGTCGCGGCCCAGCACCTGCCACAGCGCGTCGAAACGCAGCGCAGGATTGAGCCCCAGGTTGCCGTGGTGGCCACAACGCACCTTCAAGCAGTCTGCCGAGAGACGCACGCGCGAGTGCAGCGTGTCTGCCTCCAGCGTGAGCGTACGCGCGTCTGCGGAGGGCGGGGACACCGGGCCAGGCCCGATGGGCGGGGCCAGTGCCCCTGCCCCGCCCCCTGGAAACCGACCCTGCTGGTACCCGTTGTCCCGCAAGTGTTCAGGGTAGAATACAGGGAAACACGGAAATCACGAGTGGGGCGGTGGCTGGGGAGCACGGGCAGGAGAAAACATTTTAGTGCACACCCGTTGTACGGCTTGAATTTTGTACCATGGAATTTCTTGCCAATTTCTAAAAAGTTAATAAAAAATAATCCTATCGGGGCTTCCCTGGTGGCGCAGTGGTTGAGAGTCTGCCTGCCAATGCAGGGCACACGGGTTCGAGCCCTAGTCTGGGAAGATTCCACATGCCGCGGAGCAGCTAGGCCCGTGAGCCACAACTACTGAGCCTGCGCGTCTGGAGCCTGTGCTCCGCAACAAGAGAGGCCGCGATAGTGAGAGGCCCGCGCACCGCAATGAAGAGTGGCCCCTGCTCGCTGCAACTAGAGAAAGCCCTTGCACAGAAACGAAGACCCAACACCATCAAAAATAAAAAAATAAATAAATTTAAATTATATAAAAATAAAAAAAAATAATAATCCTATCACTGTTAACACTTGGGTGTATATGCTTCCAATTTTTTTCTTTACTTGCCCCTTTATAGTTTTTTTCTTAACGTTGGTGTCATACTATACAGGCTCTTGGGTAATCTGCTTTTGAAATTTATTGAAGTATTTATGAACACTTTACCACATCAATTTCATCTGTGGATTCAACAAACCTCTGATCAAATTTTGATGGGCTGTTGGATCTGTGCATGCAGAATCCATGGATACAGGGAGCTGAGTGTATTTGCAAACCATATAATTGTTAAGAGATTAATGTCCAGAGTATATAAGGAACTGGTACCACTCAGTATCAAAAACAAAAACAAAAACAAAAAAAAGAATAACCCAACTAAAAAATGAGCAAAGGGGCTTCCCTGGTGGCGCAGTGGTTGAGAGTCTGCCTGCCGATGCAGGGGACACGGGTTCGTGCCCCGGTCCAGGAAGATCTCACATGCCGCGGAGCGGCTAGGCGCGTGAGCCATGGCCGAGGAGCCTGTGCTCCGCAACGGGAGAGGCCACAACAGTGAGAGGCCCGTGTACCGCAAAACAAAAAAAAAAAAAAAAAAGCATTTTAATGGCAACCTTAAGATTTTGATGTATAGATGAATTGTAATTTAACGTATTCCCTCCCCCCGCCTTAAAAAACACGCTTGTTAAAAAGGTTTTGAAAATACTAATATGAATACATCTTTATGTATCTGATTAGTTATTTAGAATATATTCCTAGAAGAAGAAGAATTGCTCGGTCGACGGGGATGATTGTGATTTTAAGGCCTTTGGTAAATATTGCCAAACTGTCCTCCAGAAAGGTGGTGGTGATTTAAACTCCCAATAACAGTTCTTGCTGCATTATACACCTCTGTAGGCATGAAGTTAGAGAAAAGTCTAGATCTTAGGGCATGTGGATGTTTAGCTTTAGTAGATACTGCTGGATAGTTTTCTCGGTAATATTTTGGAGTTTTCTGTAGAGAGGTTTTGTATGTCTTTTGTTAGATTTATTCCTAGCTTTTTAAAAGTGTTACTGAAAATAATGTTTTTAAAATTTCATTTTCTAATTGTTTATTGCCAATACATAGAAATACAATTGATTTTTGTATGCTGACATTACATCCAGCAGCTGTTCTAAATTCATTTGGTAACTAATTTATTTATAGATTATTTTGGATTTTCTGTAAATAATAATGTCACCTTTGAATAATGATCTTTTTTTCCCTTTTCCCATCCTTATACGTTACTTTTTTTTTTTTTTTTTTTTTGGCCTCAAGGCACTCTCTAGGACATCTAGAACAATGTTGCATAGAAGTGTTTATACTGGGCATCCTTTTCTCCCACTCCTGGGTAAATACCCAACAGAAATGCATACATAGGTGCATCAAAAGACATGTACAGGGATATTCAAAGCAACATTATTCACTATAGGCAAAAGCTAAACAATCCAAAATGTCCATCAATATATTAAGTGTGCTACATTCATACAATGGAATACTACACCACAGTGAAAATCAACAAACTACTGCTACACACAATCATATGGGTAAATCTCACAAATGTCATGTTCTGTCGAAGCAAGACACAAAAGAGTAGTCTGAGTGATCTCATTATATAAAGGTCAAAGACAGGCAAAAGTAATCTTTACTGTGAGAAGTCAGGAGAGTAGTTACCCTTCGGGATAGTGAACTGGCATGAGGAAGGATTCTGGGGAGCTAGAAGTTTCCATTTCATGGTCTGAAGGAAGTTATTGAATGTGTTCACTTTTAAAAAATCATTGAGCTACAGCCCTTTGACTTGTGCACTTTATGTATTTTATATTTGTTAAAGTTTAGTTTAAAAAAATGCATGCCTAGTAATTCCATTTTGAGAAATTACTCCTAAAAAAATACAAAAATGAGCTAAGGTGTATTCAGTCACTAATTAATTCAACAAAGAGGTACAAGAATGGATGTTTACTGCAGCACTGTTTATAGAAATGAAAATGTAAAGCAGCCTAAATGTCCAATAGTATGATATGAGATTGATTTAAACGTGGCATATTCAATGGAATACCACGTATCCTTTAAAAATAACTATAATATCTGTGTTTATTAAAATAGAAAATTGTTCAATCTACACTATTAAATTTATTTATATATTTATTTATTTATTTTGCGGTACGCGGGCCTCTCACTGCTGTGGCCTCTCCTGTTGCAGAGCACAGGCTCCGGACGCACAGGCTCAGCGGCCACGGCTCACGGGCCCAGCCGCTCCGCGGCATGTGGGATCCTCCCGGACCGGGGCACGAACCCGTGTCCCCTGCATCGGCAGGCGGACTCTCAACCACTGCGCCACCAGGAAAGCCCTAAATTTTTAAAATTACAAAAGAAGGCAATTCCCTGGCGGTCCAGTGGTTAGGACTCCGTACTTCCACTGCTGGGGGCCAGAGTTCGACCCCTGATTGGGGAATTAAGATCCTGCAAGCCTCGTGGTGGAGCCACAAATAAATAAATAAATAAAATTACAAAAGAATATCTATAATATCCCATTTTTAAAAATCTGTAGACATATATATTTTTAAAATGTCTGAAAGAATATATGACAAAAATTAACATCATTTAACTCTGGGGCAGCCAATTGTTTTCTTTTAGTATATGTAATTTCGAATTCTCTACAAGAAGCACACATTACCTGTATAATTTTTTAAGGGAACAAAGATGTTCATAATATATCAGTAGATGAAAACACAGATTACAAAACAGGATGTAGAGTATGACACCATGTTTGTAAAAAATATATATATTAAATATTTATCACAGTATGTATATAGATATGCCAAAGAAAGTTAAAAGGGCAAATAATAGTAGTTATCTACTACTACGTGTCTGCTTGGGTATGTGAGCAGAAACATTTCCAAAGCTCTTCAGTGATTTATGAGTGATTTTCTTTTAAAAAACTTTTCTTTGTTTTCTAATTTTTCTACAGTGAACGTGTATTATTTCTGTGGTTTTTAAAAAACTGATAATAAGGGTTAAGAAAACTGAAGTTGGGTTTCTTAGGGGAAAAGGGGGGGCCTCTACTTCAGTGACCCTCCCTCCCACAAGTACACCCCACGCCCTCTTCACCCTCTCCCCGCTCCTGGGGTCTTACATTTTAAGAAGAGTGATCGCTCTGGTGAGGGGCTTGTTTTCAGCAGGGAACCCGGCTGGGCGCCGGAGGAGCCCGAGAGCTGGCAGTTCACGTCTGTAATGAATTGTGAGAAATGAGTGCCTGGTGTTCATGCAAACAGCACAAATTACAAAACATACTAAAAATATTACAGAACTGGGGATTCGCATAATCTCTTCCCAAGAATTGCATGCAAATTTAAGTAGGAAATGCAAATTCACAGTCACAAGAAAACTTCAGGACAAGGCTCAGATCTATACAGAAACGCACTTTCCAGGATCCGAAGCAAACTGAGCAATGACAGGCTAGTGTGAGTGAGGCCTGGACATGGGGAGGAGACAGCAGGCTCCAGGACCATCCTGAGAGTCAACCATGTATTCAGCAGTCAAGGAAGGGGGCAATTTCATGGCAGACATGCAATTTCTAGGATAAAGATCGAAAACAAGAAATCAAAGCTGAACCCTTAGGAAGGTCGCGTTCCGGTCTCATCCAGGTAAGAGGGAGTTCAGGGGAAACCCAAGTCATGGTCCCTGTCTCCAACAGCTCAGTCAGGTAAATGAGGTGAGAAATGGGCTCGCTTGAGCCATACCGCTCAAGGCAGAGAGTGCTCTACATCGAAGAGGAGACGTGAAAGGGCTCCAGAGCCTGAAGGGGTCAGTGAAGGCTTCATGGAAGAAGAAGCACCTCAGCTGGCCCTTAAAGGATGGGGAAGATTTGGACACCCAGAAAAAGGATGGGAGCCTTTCCCCAGGATACAGCAGGAGCAAAGACATTAAGGACAGGTGCTAGTAGCGTCGTGTAAAAACTGAGGAGCCATGGAAGGTGTTTGAAGGAGTGTAGATATGAGCAGAAGAATCTCCAGAGCGCTCTCTGGTGGGGAGTGGATGGGGCAGGGTGAGTGTGGAGGCAGAGGCCCTGTTGGTAGGCTCAGGCCTGACCTGGGGCAGCAGGGATGGAAAAGGGGCTGGGTTCAGGATATACTGCAGTGGTACAAGTACCAAGGCTTAACTCTAATGGGAGTGGAGAATGAAGAGTAGATTGGAGTCAAGAAGCAGAGGATTGGGGGTTGAGGCATGGAAGATGCTGGATTCCATTTCAGCCTTTTGAGCCTGCAATGCCTGTTACACTCACAGGTAGGGAGGTGAGGCGGGACACTGGACGGGCAGTGGTGCTGCAAGACCCCCATCTCCCTGTGGCCTTCCTGGGAGTCAGTACCTCTCAGTATTACCTGTGATAGTAAGAATGATGGCCTTATCTGGTGGTGGATGAGGGGTGATGGCCTGAGAGGAAGCAGACTCCAGGGCATCAGAAAACAAACCTTGGGACCAGAGTCTGTTTGAATTCTGCCTCTACCCCTACCAGCTGTGTGACCTAGGGCAAATCAGTTAACCTCTCTGACCCTCAGCTTCCTCATCCGTAAAATGGGGGATAATGAAGATGTCTACCACACAGGGTAATGCTGACTGTTGCATTTTTTAGCAAAATCAACACAGAACACATGAAGCAAATAACCATTAGTAATCTTGACATCAACATGAGCTTCAATCATGGTCTGCCATTTTTTGACCATGGAGCACATTTTGTCATGGATAAGATCCATGCCATGAAAGTTAGGCAGTTCTTGCCCTGAACATCTTCAGGAATTAGCTTTAATTCTCTTAAATGCAGCTTCATCATTCTGCAGGTCAGCAAGGCTCACTTCCAAAAGTTAACCCTTGAGGCCATCAAAAGCAATTTTGGTTCCTAGAGTTCTCATGACTAGGGTTTTTCCAATATTTCTTATATGGAATGTAGCTGGTGCTTTCACATCGTACCAACCTTCCTTAGAAAACAGATCAACCATTTTCTTCTTGGCTCCCTTTTAACTGCCTTTCGTCAGGCATTTGCTCTTGCAAACCACCATGGTGCTGCTCAGAGAGCCAAAAGGGCCATTCCCTCCAAGTCTAAATGCTCTTTTCCATCTCAGAATATGACAACTTCCTTCTAGTTGTTCCGGTCAAAATCTGTGGAGTCTCCTTGGTATCTCTTTCTCTCTTCTTCCCTTCCTGCGCCCACATCTACTCCTGTTGACTCCCCCCACCTACCCTTTGCTGTTCCTTCAACATGCCAAACTTACTCTTCCCTTGTGCCTCGGGACCTTTGCACTTGCTTTTCCCTCTGCCTAGAAGACATTTCCCCCAGATATATCAGCAGCAGCAACAATAATAGCTAACACTCACATGGTGCTTATTATGCCTGAGCGCCATTCTGAGCGCTTTACATGTAAGAACTCATTTAATCCTTACAACAACTCTATGAGACAGGAATATATTATCATCTCCATTTTATGGATATAGAAACAGAGGCATAGAAAAGTTAGGTGCCCTGCTCAAGATGGCAGGGTTAGGAAGTGGTGGGCCTGGGATAGGAACCTGGGCAGTCTGGCTCCAGAGTCCATGCGTGTGACCACAATGATCTCCAGCCCATCCTTCAGGTCAGCTCACACATCCCCTTCTCAAAGAGGCCTTTCCCACTTCCCATAGAAAATAGCTCTGGGCTTCCCTGGTGGCGCAGTGGTTGAGAGTCCGCTTGCCGATACAGGGAACACAGGTTCGTGCCCCAGTCTGGGAAGATCCCACATGCCGTGGAGCGGCTGGGCCAGTGAGCCATGGCCGCTGAGCTTGCGTGTCCGGAGCCTGTGTTCCGAAAGGGGAGAGGCAAAAAAAAAGAAAGGCCTGGGTAACAAAAAAAAAAAAAAAAAAAAAAAAAAAAAAGCTCTTCCTCCTGGTCACCCTCCATTCTCCTTACTCAGCTCATTTTTTTTCAAAGCACTTCTTTTTTTTTTTTTTAATAAATTTATTTATTTGGCTGCGTTGGGTCTTCGTTGCTGCGCGCGGGTTTTTCTCTAGCTGCGGCGAGTGTCGTTGCGATGTACGGGCTTCTCAGTGCTGTGGCTTCTCTTGTTGTGGAGTGCGGGCTGTAGGCGCGCGGGCTTCAGTAGTTGTGGCTTGCGGGCTCTAGAGCGCAGGCTCAGTAGTTGTGGCACATGGGCTTAGTTGCTCCACGGCATGTTGGATCTTTCCGGACCAGGGCTCGAACCCACGTCCCCTGCATTGGCAGGCGGATTCTTAACCACTGTGCCACCAGGGAAGTCCCCCAAAGCACTTCTTATCGCTGACATATATTCATTTGTTGTCCATCTTCTCCTTAAAAGACTGAGCACCACAAAGGCAGGAGCTTTGTTTTGTACCCCACTGTGCCCAGCACATAACAGGGGCTCAGTAAATGGTCTGAATGAATCCTAATAGCAGAGATGAATGAATGGATATTTCTGAGCACCTGCTCTGTGTCAGGCCCTGCAGTGACCTCAGAGCTGGACCCAAAGTGGTTCTTGCCTTCCAGGCATTTAAGAGAGGAAGGGAGGGGTCCATGTATCCAGCTGACAAACACCCCCAGGCAGAAGATGGAGCAGGCCCAGGGCAGAGGGGGGAGACAGCCGGGAGAGCGAGCGAGCCCGGGGTTTCTTGGAAAGGCTTCCCAGGTGAGCACAGCTGTGGGTCCTGACCAGGCAGAGGAAGAGGAGTTGGCCCTTCCAGCTGGGAGCCCAGCGCAGGCAAAGCTGAGGTGTGGCAGAACCTCGGGAGCAACTGAGGGGCAGGAGCAGAGCAGGGCAGCTGCGAGAAGCAGGACCTGGTCTCCGAATGGGTAGGAGGTGAGGTTGGAAGGGAGGGTTGGGCCCAGGCCCAGGAGACCTTGACCACCCAGCCTAGGGCCTCTGTGCAGGAGACACATGATTTAGGGTGGCGATCTTCACAGTTGTCTCTAATCACAGGGCTCTAGGGGAGTAAAGGACCCAAGGTTGGTCACACGGTGACTTACTCGCCTTAAGGCGGACGTCCAGTGGCGTCTGTAGCGGACTCTGCGTGGCTTCCACAAGGCCCTTAAAGAAGCTCTTGACGGGCTCAAAGGAGTGGGGCACGGGGTGGCATGACTCCCCCAGGCTCATCTGCTGCTCAGCGGCCGTGTACGCGCGAGGGCACGTGGGGCTCTGGGTGGCTTGGAGCCGCGTCCCAGCCTCCACCACTGTGCCCAGGAACAAACCCAGCCAGCAAGCACTGGCCCCACCTGACCGTGGCACCTGCTGCCACCCCAGGCCCTGCCCCTGGGAGCAGAGCCCCGAGGACCACAGCCTTGGCAGTCCCCCCCACCCCTGCCTCGAGGAAGAAGGCAAGCTGACTGCCCCTGCCCTGAAGTTGCTCACCACCTCGAAAGGGACCCCGAAGCTTTACAGACACTGTGACAGAGGTCGGCCTGAGGTACAGGGGACGAAAAGAGCGAGGGGCCAGTTTTCCTGGGGAAGGCGCTCCTGGGGCATGTCCAAACGGGGGGAACAGGAAACCATATCCCAAAGGGGAAGCCAAAGACTCTGGAAGCTCAGCTGGAATGCTGACCAAGGGGGTGTGCCCACCACAGTGGGGGCCTGTCCTGTTTTCTGCCTGGACAGCACCTTTTAAATACCCTTCCTGTGTTAAGTGTGGCTTTGCTAAGTACAAGCAAGAAAACTGTCCCAGCCCCCGGTGTAGGCATGTGACAAGGAGTCTCCACTCCAAGACTTGGATGTGGAAGTGGCGTGTAGCTGTCAGGGACAGCAGTGGTGGAGGTTGCAGGGGACGTGCTCTGGGTCAGGGGTGTGAGCTGTGACATCTGCCCAGCGGAGGAGGGTGGGTCTACACTGGAGCAAGTCTGTGCCATGGCCCTGACTTCACTCCTGCGGCCTGGTCTTCATCACGACTTTCTGGCCTTCCTGGAGATCAGATGTGCTGCCTAATACTCTTTCATAAACTCCTTTCTTGCTTAAAACAGTTACAGTGGATTCTCTTGTTTGCACCTAAGATCCCTGTCTGCACTTTCTGGAGGGTTGTCCTGGGCAGGGATTTAGAAGACAACAGATTTCCTTAGGAGAGCAGGCCCTGGCTGGTGGGCGGTGCTGCCCAAGATGGGAGGGGCGGGTGGATGCCTCAGGAGGGAGGGAAGGTGGCCCAGCGCTTGGCAGGAAGGATGCTGGGCCTTGGAAGGGCTGAGGGACGGTCTCCAAGCCCTGTCTACCTAGGAAGCTGCAGGTCTAGAGCCCATCCTCATTTGGGTGGGAAGAAGGTAATTTGTGGAGAAAGAGGGCTAAGGTCACACTCAGAGGGCTGGCCAGGGAGTCAGATCATTAGCAGGGAGGGCAGGGAGCGGCTCCGGGGTGGCCCAGAGGGCAGATGGGTGGGGTGGGACTGGGGAAGGGGATGAGGAACAAATGCAACCACCTGGTAACCCCAAACTCCAGCATCTAGCACAGGGCCTGACACATAGGAGGTTCTCGATAAATGTTCACAATGCAATAAATGAATGAATGAAACTGAGCACATCTACTTCTTGCCTTTGCAGACTCAGGGAACAGCCACATAACCACCCATCTCTCAAGCCAGAAACCAGCTGTCATCTTGGATTCCCCCAGTCACCAATCCTGTCACATCTATCAAACTCGCCTGCTTCTCCCCATCCCCACTGACCCTTCACTGGTCCAGCCCACCATCATCTCTCTCCTGGATACTGTGGTCTCCTCCCAACTTTCCTTCCAGGCTCCATTCCTGCCTGTCCAGTCCATCTTCCAGCCTGTCACTAAAGTGACCTTTCTAAAGCATTAATCTGACCATGTCATTCCTCGCTGCAAAACACTCCCCTGGCCCCGGTTCTCTTTACAGGACAAAGTCTAAACTTCATAACCAGGCATATAAGACCCTTCATCAAGTAACCCTGGCATCCCTACATCTCCCAACATGCCCCCCTCCCTTGTACCCTTGCCCCGCCTCCAGTCAGGCTGAACCCTGGCAGTTCTCCAGCCTGCCAAGCTCTCACACGCACATACTTCCTTTCTGCCTGAGATGTCCTCTCTGCTTTTTTCCTCTGTATATACCCAGTGAGCTCCTCCTTATTCTCCCATACCAGCTCCACTGTCACTTCCTCCTGGAAGCCTTCCCTGATTCCCCATACAGAGTTGGACTTCTCTTGGACACACTTTTGCTAGCTCACTTAGCTGTGCTGTGTTGTGAGTAACTTTCTGAGCATGTCTCCCCACCCATAAGCTCCTAATGTGAAGCAGGGGCCTGTTGCAATCAGGTTGCTCAGTGTATATTTGATGAAAATATGAGTGAACAAATGGAAGGAACGATGAATGATGAAAATCAGTAGCTTGGGCACCAAAGAATTAAAAAAAAAAAAGAGAGAGAGAGAGATGAGAAAGCCCTGAAACTGTATCTATGATGGAAGAATAGCATTCTTCTCCATGGAAGCCTCCCTTTGAATCAGATATTCCTAAAATGTACCATTATTTTAAAAGAAAAAAAAGGTGCCCCTCTGTGCATCTTGCCTCTCTTAAAGTACAACATCTAAAGTGCCTAGGAGAGCACCTCACCCAGAATATTTTGTTAGGGTTTTTTTGTTGTAGTTGTTATTTAACAATGAGACACAGGCTGAATTGACCAAGGCCACATAAAGGCACAGGAGGGGAAATAGCCTCCAGGGACTGGCTTGACTAGTCTTGTACTGACTTATTTATTTGTCTGTCTTATTTTGCAGCCAGAGCCCAGGCTAATCTGTGGTTCAACTCAGTGCCATCTTTACTTAGTTGTACCTTGCTTCATCCCACAAACCTTTAAAGCATCTTACAAAAGTTATCTAATGCTGCAAGATTTTCCTTTACAGTGAGAAAAATGAAGCCAAGAGAAAACCAGGATAAGACTGGAAGCTGGAAGCCAGAGTGAGATGAGGCATAAACTGTATGCCACAAAGTCTCATCCCAGCTATTTGAAACATATTTGGCTCTGAGCTTCCCAGAAGCTATGGCAAAGAAAGAAAGAGGAAGAGTTAGATGAGTAGAAAAGCAATCCAAGTGCACAGGTGACTGCACAGGAGTACTGACACAAGAGAGGAGTTTCTCCCATGGTTCCCTGAAGATGGGAACATGACCCTCAACAACATGCTTTCACTAACTGTAGTAGTGAATATTATACGGGCTAGTTTTTAGATTCTCCTTCAGGATAATAGCCTTCAACAGAGCCCACTGGCCAAGGAGTCCCGTCCTTCTCTCCCCTTTGAGCAAACTGTGACTCCACTCTTGAAGTCTGCTTAGTAGCTTTTGCAAAGGTGCCTGCCTTTCCAGGAGTGATGTTTCCATTAAGACTGTACCGTCAGAGGACTGGGCAGTGATGCCTTGTGGCTTTAGAGTCAGACAGACCTGATCCCAGATCTGCCACCTACCAGCTGTATAACCTTGGATGAGTCCCTTCATCTCCTTGAGGCTCCATTTCTCATTAGTAAAATGGGGTGAGAATATCCAATTTGCAGAGTTCTAGTAAATATTAGAGCTAAGATACCTGCGGTGCTTGGAACACAGAGGCCCTCAAAAATGGTGGCTGTTCATGTCATTTAATTAGTCCAAGATGTATATTATCTTCCTAACAATGTAATCAGTCTACCTGCTGACAAGGCAGTTCTCTGTGTATTTACTCAGTGTGTGAATACTGTATTCAGTGCCACATTAACCAAGATGAAATGTGGCGGCTGGTGGCCACTGTGAGGGCAGAAACCCAGCATTACCTGCAGCAGCTGTACAGGACTGGGTTCCCGGCTGGTATTCCAGACCCTGTTGGAGAGATTGTTCATGACATCGATTTGCTCCCCACAAGACTCGATTTGCTCCCTGTACGCCTGCAGGGCAAGCTGTGTGTTTTTCTCAATGAATTTCTTGGTCACAGTTTCCTCTTCATCAAGTAGTAATCTGAGTTCAGTAAATTTCCTTGTCAGCCAGGTTTTACTTGACTCTGCATGAGCCTAAAGAAAACCCCGAACAATACAAAACCAGATGCAGACGATATGATTGCCAACCAGGAAATCCAAAAGCATCAACACGAAAAAAATTATTATAACTTCTAAAAAGTGAGTTCAGCACTTATAAAAAGCTTTCCTAAGTACCAGCTATAACCAATTGGAAAATGAATGGAGAAATAAAGATCATTCTTAAAACAGTAGGAAAAAATAGCAAAATATTTAAAACTAGACCTAACAAAAACTGTAAGGGCCTAGATAAAGAAAAGCATAAAATTGTACTGAAAAACATAAAATAATCTGAATGCATGGAAGAAAAACCATATCCCTGGCTAGGAAGATTGAATACTATAAAGATGCCATTTGTCTCCAAATTAGTCTATAAATTGGATGTAATCCCAATCAAAGTCTTAACATACAGATTAACCAAATGTTAAATTACCATGGGGGAGAATAAGCACAGGAAAAGCCAAAAATTTCTTTTAAAGGATCAGTGAAGGGGAATTCCCTGGCGGTCCAGTGGTTAGGACGCCAGGCTTTCACTGCTGAGGGCACTGGTTCAATTCCTGGTCGGAGAACTAAGATCCTGCAAGCTGTGTGGCATGGCCGAAAAAAAAAAATCAGTGAAGGATGAGCTGCCTTATTAGATATCAAAACAAACTGTAAAGGTACAGGGTTTAAAACTATGTGGCTTAGGCATAGACAAAAAGATCAAGAGCAAAGAATAGCTTAGAAAAGTATGTATATACATATATATAATTAATATAATTATATATATAATTCAACAAATGGTATTGGTACAGCATGCAATTAATCATGTATTTAAAAAAAAACTAAGTTAGATTCTTATCTTATTCTGTATACAAAAACAAATTCAGACAGAACCCCACCTATGAAGTACTCTTGTGAAAAATGTGAATCTGAATCTGATTAAGCCTCTAGATCTAACTTAAAGATACAATTTAGAAGACACATAGAGGACAGAGGAGCATGTTAACCATCAACTTAAAAAATACATCAACCAATAGCATTTTGAAAACTTTCACTCCTAATTCAAATAAACAAATAAAATGTGACACTTATAAGACAATTGGGAATGTGACTACTGGTTGGATATTTGATAATATTAAGGAACCATTGTTAATTTTCATAGGTGTGATGATGATACCATGGTTATATATTTTTAAAAATGAGTACTTATCTTATAGAGGTAATATGCTCAGAGTTTTACAGATGAAATTGAATGTCTGCGATTTGCTTCAAAACACATATGTATGCTTGAGGTTTTCCACGATAAAAGCTAAACAAACAAACAATTCTAAATAGATCAAAGCACTATACATTAAAAGAATAATAAACCTACTAGAATAAAATACAAAACAATTTTATTTTTAAAAATTTGAGAAGGGAAGACCTCTGTAAGAGGAACCCAAAACTCAGATAGCAAAATGGGAGTCATGACAGGTTGGACTACATAAAAAAAGAAACTCTTCCCAAGAGGTAAGGCACTGTAAACAAAGCCACATGACAAGTAACAAACTACACAGGCTTACTCTCCATAACATATAGTGAAAAAAGAAATCATTCAATTTAAAAATGGACCAGAGATATACAAATGCCAAGAGACATATGAACAGGTGTCTCTGCGTCCCAAACAATCAAGGAAGTGAGCAGCATAATCAAAAAAAAAAAAAAAAAATATATATATATATATATAGGCCATCAGACTGGAAGAATGCTAACTGATGGATAATACCAAGAGTCCATAAGGGTGTGTGGAATAGGCACTTACATACACTGCAGGTGGTAGTGTCCATCAGTATTGCATTTTTAGAGGGTGATATGATAATATCAAAATTTTAAACGCTTAAATCCTTTGATGCAGCAGCTCCTCTTGCAGGAATTGATCCTAGAAAATGTTTTCACATGTGCACAAAGATTTGTGTACCAAGAAGCTCACTATAGTATTGTTGGAGATAGAGAAAAGTTGGACAAAATTTTCAACATGGGAAGTATATATGTATGTTCATTGTACAAATTATGCTGCATTCATACAATGAAATAATAATATTCAGTGATTAAAACGAATGCAGTGTTCTGACACATGCTATAATACGGATGAACCTTGAAGACATGATGCTAAATTAAATAAGCCAGACAGAGAAGGACAAATATTGTATGATTCCACTTATATGAAATATCTAGAGTAGGCAAATTCATAGAGACAGGAAGTAGATTAGAGGTTACCAGGAGCTGGTGGGAGGGGAATGGGAAGTAATTGCTTAATGATTACAGAGTTTATATTTAGGGTAATGAAAAACTTTTGGAAAGAGTGCTGATGATTGTACAACACTGTGAACATAATTAATGCCACTGAATTATATGCTTAAAAATGGTTAAAATGGTAACTTTTATGTTACGTGTATTTTGCCACACACACACACACACACACACACACACACACACACACAAAGAATGCAGTGGACCTATATGTCCTGTCGTGGAAAGCTCTTCAAGACACCGTGTGAAAAAGGGCAAGTTGCAGAATAATATATATAGGATGATCCCATTTATGTAAAAGATAACAAAATTAAAAGTGTACATGTATATACGCATCTGCATGTTTGCAAGTGCATTTAAAATGTCTGGGGACTTCCCTGGTGGCGCAGTGGATAAGAATCCGCCTCTCAGTTCAGGGGACATGGGTTCGAGCCCTGGTCCGGGAAGATCCCACATGCCGCGGAGCAACTAAGCCCATGTGCCACAACTACTGAGCCTGCACTCTAGAGCCCATGAGCCACAACTACTGAAGCCCACGCGCCTAGAGCCCGTGCTCCGCAACAAGAGAAGCCACCGCAATGAGAAGCCCGCGCACCGCAACGAAGAGCAGCCCCTGCTCACCGCAACTAGAGAAAGCCTGCACGGAGCAAGAAGACCCAACGCAGCCAAAATAAATAAATTAATCAAAAATTAAAAAAAATAAAATGTCTGTTAGTTTGGTCATGTTTGGGAAGAGGTGTGGGATTGGGGAGATGGTCAAGAGGGACTCTCACTCTGTACTTTCCATAGCTGTACACTGTATTCTAATAAACTATTTAAATTTTAAAAACTGAGATGTGTTCATGTATTACCAGTACAATTAAAATATAAAATCATAACAACAAAAAAATCAGGCCAGCTTCTTTCCTCAGCCCAAATGTCTGTACAGCCCACACAGCAGAAAGATCCTTGGTACCCAGGCAGGCATGGGGGTGGGCAGGCTCCCCTGTGTGCCATGTTCTCTCCTTAGTGGGGCAGGAATGTGTGGTTTGGCAGGATCTACGGGATGGGCTCCCAAAGTCTGTGTTTCCCATGCAATGTTCTAGGCAGTGGTGAGGCTCTGAGTTTAGAGCCTCATATTGACTAAATTGGCTTTGGGCTAGCTTGGGAATTAGTCCACACTTACAACATGGTTTCTATGAGTCAGTGAACCTGGACAGAAATATATCTTTGTTGAATGACTAAACGAAGGAAAGAAAATGTGTTCTAAACGCTTGATATATCCACACATTTTGGAGGCAACATATGCACACGGAGGACCTTTCTACAGAAACTGAGAGCAAATATCTTCTCCCAACCAACTGGGCTCCAAGCAGTTTCTACAGATCCACTTTTTAAAGAAGAATATACAAAATAAGCTTAATGACACTACACTTTGTTATGAATCTCAGCGTAGAAAACTTAAGTATAGGCAAGATGAGGCTGATTATGCAATATGGTAAAAAAAAAAAGACTGAGAGAGAAAATTCTGGAAATGAAACAAGGAAGTACACTGGGCCACATTGGTTCAAAATAAGCTAATATATATCTATATATATATCATGTATTTATATACTCTTTTGTTGTTGTTCACAAAAGTAACAAAAGCTCACTGTGGAAAATTTGGAAGATTTGAAAGAAAACTATAACTACTCTGCTATATATTGTCAACTCATCCCAGTTTGAGTAAAAAGTTAGGGCAGCAGGCAAGTGTTGATTTTCCCTATACCTGGCATGTATGAGCGCGCTGAAAAGCCATGATGGGGAAGCAAACAGCCTATTAACAAGGATGTCAGAGAAAAATCATTTAATGGGTATTGGCTGGGGATTCATGATCAAGTCCTTCTTGATTGCTCTCTGGAAAGGCGTGGATGGGTAGGCCTGGTTGTTGGCTTCTGAACAGTTGACGTTGGTCAATTATGAACTTTACTGGTTTTAATTTGTTTACCAAGCTGTTTTATGGATTAATTTTCAGGCAAATGGCCTTTTCCCTAGTACTGCCTCTGAGTAAGCAAGGCCGGAGAGGCATGGTTGCCCCAGACCTCTGTGCCACAACTACGCCCACCACAGTTCAGCGGAACGCACCAGACTCCCTACAAACGTCTGTGCCTATTGAGCCAGGCGACTCACTTCTAGGAACGTGTCTCAAAGAAAATAAATCAAGGTGCCAAATATCACTGCAGCGTTGTTTTACTTGAGTGAAAGCCTGGATGTGATCTAAATGTTCAACATTAGGAAAACGGCTTCATGAATCATGGTCGATCCCTATAATGGAATATACAGCCTCTAATACTGACACTGACAAAGAACTTTTAATGACACAGGGAAGGGTTAGGGTCTTAAACGAACAACCACAAAACCCCCCATATGTAAGATGACATATAGTTTTGGTCAAAAAGGGAGAAGGAGCTGACATGGAAATCCCCCCTCCTACTTCAAACGCACGGAAATGCTGATAAGATGAGTAAATTTTAAAATTACGCGATCAAGCTGAAAAAAAACCCCACAAGACCCCCAAAACCAACCCACAATCAAACAAACAACAACAACAAAAGGGAAATCCTCAGTGCCAAAAACAAAGAGGGAACTTGGCGTCAGAACCATGGGCAGGAGCTGAGTGAGGGACCCCGGTGGGGTGGGGGTGGAGGGGTGTATGAGAGCCACACCATGCTGGGGCCGGGTCATCTAGGAGGGCGCCCTGGGCACCTGGCGTCCTGGGAGCGGGAAGGGGGCCACGTGACCCGCATCAAACCAGATTCACAGAGAGCCGCTCCATCCATGAACTAGGCACCAGTAAAAGCCCACCCACGGGCCTGGGGGAAGGGCAAGGAATCTTGTCATCCATCCAGGGTCATGCACTACTTTTGCAACTTCCTATAAATCTGTAATTACTTCAAAATAAAGTTTAAAAGTTGGGGAAAAGCTTCAAAAAAGAAAACCATTCCTTAGTTGAAGCTGAAACCTGCCCCCTTAGACTTTCCACACGGATCCTAACTCTTTCCTCGGGGACCCCCAAACCATATCTGCTTAGAGATTTACAGACAGTGAGACTGTGCCCTGACTCTGTTCTTCTGGCTGAACAGCCCAAAGCACCTCTGCCATCCCTTCAGGTGTGCCAACTTTCAGTTCCCAAATCCTTTCGAGCTGATGTAGTTGCCTATACCCAGAGTCTTGCTCTTGAAGACATGACATGATTAATAATTAACCCAGGGCCACAGATGTAAACCACAACTGTCCCCAGTAAACTGGGGCATGCCGTCGCCTGAAAGATAATGGATGTTGGGCAAACAGGGGGCCAACTCTGTGGCCTGGTCTGGGTGCCAGCTACTCCTGCGGTCGTCAGAGCCAATCTCCCTGCCTGACTTGGGGTGGTCAGTCTGAGGTTCACAGGGCCCTCAGTGAGACAGACCCTGGGAGGGCAACCCACTCCAGCCCTCACTTTGAGGCGGTGGCAGCTGAGGGTGAGAAGGGAAGGGATTGGCCAAGTTCACCTAAAACGCTCCTTTAAGAGCAACACCATTCTCACAGTCAAAACAGCAGCTGGGATAATGTCAGCCCCAACTTCCCACTTAAAACCCACAAAAGAATCCACTTAAATAAACAGTGTTATACAAGGAGAAGCCTGAAGAAAGTACATACTTATGGAATACATTTATACCTATTTACTTTCTTTCAACAGTGAAACCTAAAGAGCGATTTGTGTGTTCCTTACCTTGTGTTCTGCTTTGCTTAAGGCAGTCTGGGGTGCTGGGTTTGGAGGACTAGTCTGTCCAAGAGAATGGCTTTGGCCATGGCGGGAGGAAAGGCCGTTCCTGCAATTTGTCAGGCATTATGGGACAAGGCTAGGGCTCTGGGCAGAGGCAGATTCACCACAAAGCTAATGAAACAGGAGCCCCAGGTCCCTCCCTGGCATGGCCCCTTCATGATCTTGCAACTAATTTTGTGTTCTTTTTCTCCAAAAGGGCCCCCTAAATTACAGAAGCCCCAGGTCTCACCAAACCTGACCTGCCCCTTTGAGGCTGTTTGTCATTGTCCCTTGGCTCCATATTGGGGAGAACTGTGTGTCCAAGGGCAAAGGTGGACATCTCATCTGGAATAAGGAAGAATCCCCCACTTGCCTTGAGCTTCTCAGCAGCATCTTGTCTGGGTTATGTTGCCAACTTGCTGCTGCTTCTTGGTTGTCAAATTCTTTAAACATTCTTGGGTGAGTTTCTGTATGTGAAAGTATTAGGAGAGAAGTCTTAATGTTGTCACTTTTGAGATAACAAGTCACCCCAGGGGTCATGTCCTCTCACTCCTGTATTTTTTTTCAGCTGAGCTGAGACTCAAAAGGTGAGCTGACTTGCCCAAAGTCATGAGGCAAGTTGGAAGATGAGCTGGAAGTAGGGCCACTCTGATCCTCAGAGGCCCACATGAGGTATTCTCCAAACCTCGAGGTGCCCCCTTTTTTTCTAGGACAGTCCTGCTTGTGACCTGCTTTTCCAGGCCCTCAAATAGGACTTTAGGGAAGCAGCTTGGGGTCAGGGGAAGAGCCTTCACTTCTAGAGTGAATACTGAGTACCTATAATGTGCTGGCGCCTGTTCTCGGAGCTGCTCTCATGGAACTTGCATCCAGGATTGGTCTGTGGTCCTCTGGCCTTGTCTGGGGTTCAGAGGACCTGCATGGGTAAGAGGTCCCCTCTCCCACCTAAGATGGCTCCCTTCCTTATCTCTGCTTTTCGCAACTGCCACTTCTCCAAAGGCCTTACCTCCATCTTACCTTCTTATGGTTCACCTTACACTCAGCTGCTGGACCAACTGGGAGCTTCCTGAGGGCAGGTCTGCTCCATTCTTGGTTCCTGATCCCCCATAGGGACCAGGGGGTGACCCAGAAGTGTTTGCTGAATTGAACAGAATTACCAGGGGCTGCCAAATTCAAGTGGAGAGCTGGAGCAAGTTATGAGCCTAAGCCCCAGACTCAGATGGGACCTCCTAGGTCTGAGTCCCAGCTCTCCTTCCACATGACCTGGGCAAGTGATCTCACCTTTCTGAACCTCGGTTTCCTCAGCTACAAAAAAAGGGGACACCCCTACAGAGTTGCTGGAAAGAATAAGAAGTACACAGAGTGCTTGGTATAGTGCTTGGCACACAGTAAGTGCTCGATAGACATAGCTTGTATCGTTATTTTAATATCCAACAAGCATTTGCTATGGTGTGCAGGTTTATTCTAGCTGGGGGTCTGGGAGTGAGTGGTGGGGCTGGGAACACAATAGAAACCCAAGTATAAGCCACAGCCTCAACTTCCAGGAGCACATGCATACCCCACTGTGATTTCTAAGCCTTCAAGTCCAGCTCCTGGCTATCAGCCAAGGATAACCTAGCTTCCTGGTGCTTGAAACCTCCAGTCACAGGGTGCTTCTCCCATCTAGTACCTGGTGAAACCCCACTTATTCTTCACGGCCAGTTCCCATGGCTCCTCCTCCAGGAAGTCTTGCTGGGCTTCCTGTCCCTAGTTCACATTGTCCTCTCTTTGGCTCCCACTGACCACTGCCTCAGACTCCCCAATTACAATACTTATCATACTGTGTTGTCACTGTTTGTTCTTCCCCCACTAGCCAAGGAACTCCTCCAGGTCAGGGAAGAATTGGTCTATTCCCTGACTCATGGCACCAGGTATGAGTTGAATGGATGTCTAATGAATGAATGAATGGGCAGATGGATGATGCATGAACAGACAGGTGAGTGGGTGGGTGTGTGGATGCAAAAGGGGTAGGTGGGTGGACCTGCCTATTAGAAGCTGTATCTCTGAAAGCAGCCTTGTTAACTCTGAAAACAGCATTTTGAGGAACTAAATTATTATTATAACCATTTTATAGATAAGAAGAAGATCTTGGAGGCAGAGGCAAGCCTTGAATCCTGGACTCTACCTGCTAGATTGGCCCCCACGTGGCCCGTTCTCACAGTGGAGCTCCAAGGTTGTCACCATGATGGTGTTAAGTCATGCTGTGCAGGGAATAGGTCATTGTGGGGCTGGAGTAACCACAGACGACTTCTTGAAGGTGAAGTGGTAGAATCAACATCTGTCTGTGACAGGAGGGCCTGCCTAGCCCAGAGAGGTTGGAGGGGTCTGACTAGAGTCACTGGACAAGTTGGCCACAAGGTTGGAACAAGAGTCCAGAGCCCCCTTCCACTATTAAGAATAAGCATGGGTGAGAGCTCCAAGGTGAGAATGGGCCCGTGGGAGGCAGTCCTGGGTTCAAGGCCCGCCTCGGCCTCCAGAACCCTCCTCTTCTTGGCCACGAACCGTCTGGCCTAGCTCTCACCAGGCTGTTATGAGGGTTGTCCGCTCCCAGGGCGATCAGGCGGTCCTCAGCCCCTCTCTGAATTCCAGGAGGGAAAACCAGAGGAGTTGTTTGTGTGGCTTTCCGGAAACACAGATGTTTTCGAAGCGGGAGGGGTTTTTTCATCTTTGTTAAAAGGCAGAATTTCTCCCGGCCCAAAGGCAGTGTGGTGGACCCGCCTTGGTGGGTGAGGTCCGGGATATCCGGTGCCGGCCGGGGCGCCCAAGTTCTCACTCCCAAACCCACCTCTTCTTATGCTTAAATGATGGCCTTGCCTTTCCTTGGGCTTGTTTCTTTTTCTGAACAACAGGTCGGCCTCCTAGATGCTCTCTGGGCCGCCTTGGGGGTCCTGGTCCCAACCGGGAACTGTCAGTGGAACCCAGTACGCCCCTCCCCGCCCGCTGCTCCCGGGCTCACACCCCCGCGTCCCCACCTGCACGCGCACCGCCTCCTCCAGCGCCAGACTAACCGGGTGGCCGCGGTGCGAGCCCAGCACCAGGCAAAGCGCGCACACGCAGCGGCGGCAGCGGCGACAGCGGCGACAGAAGAGCTCAGCCACGCGGTCGCCGTGCTCCGGGCAGCGCCAGCCGCGCGCGTCTTCGGGCTCCGCTGGGCCCAGCCCCCCAGGAGTCCCACTTTGGCGCCGCCGCGCCCGCCATTCACCCGCAAGTTTTGCGGCCGCCGCGCAGAGAGGGGCCGGCGGGGAAATAGAAACCTGCGCGGTGGGGCGGGGCGCTCCGGGCCGTCCCAGTTCCGGCAGGGAAAGACAGATATATGGCAGGGCGCCGCCTGCAGGCCAGGGCACAGCCGCAGCATCATCACCCTGCGGACAGCACGGTGCTCTCCCGCCCATCCGCCGGGGCAGTGAATGCTCAGGCCTGGTCTCCCGGCTCTGTGTCTAGCCCAGAGGCGGCCGCAGCACAAATGGGGGCTCACTTCGAATGGGCTAACTAACTGCAAGGAGGTGGGCTTCCCCGCTGAGTGACGCTCGTCCAGTCATGATCAGAAAACTGCAGCCCTGTGGATGGGACCAAAGTTGGCTGTGGCCTTCCGGGATGCTATGCATTACCTAGACTTTTCATTTTCCCTTAATTCTCTCTTGCCCTATCCCCAAGAGAAATAACGATTCCCGCAATTGTGAGAAACATTCTGGAAACTCCACCTGCCCCCACGCTAAAGTCTCAGCAGTGGTACAGGCATTATGGAGGTTCCTCAAAAAATTAAAAATAGAGCTACCATATGATCCAGCAATCTTACTTCTGGGTGTATATCCAAAGAATATGAAGTCAGTGTATCAGAGCTATCTGCACTCGCATGTTCATTGCAGCATTATTTACAATAGCCAAAATATGGAAACAACCCAAGTGTCCATCAGTGGATGAATGGATAAAGAAGATGTGGTATATGCACGTATATATAGTGAAATGTTATTCAGACTTAAAAGAGGAAATCCTGCCGTTTTCTAAATGAATGAGCCAGGAAGACATTATGCTAAGTGAAATAAGCCAGACGGAGAAGGACAAATACTGTATGATACCTAAATATGTAGAATCTTAAAAAAAAAAAAAAAGTCAAACTGATAGAGTAGAAAGGTGGTTGCCAGGGGCTCACAGAAAAGGGTAGGGTGGGGGAAAAGGGTACAAACTTTAAGTTACAGAACCCATAAGTTCTGGGGATCTAATGTACAGCATGATGACTATAGTTAATAATACTGTATTGTACACTTGAGATTTGTTGAGATTGGATCTCAAATGTTCTCAACCATACACAAAAAATGGTAAGGACGTGAGGTAATGGATGTGTTAATCAACTTGATTGTGGTGATCATTTCACAATGTATTCATATCGTAATCATTACCACATACACCTCAAGAAATCACAAACAACATAAATATATACAATTTTTGTCAATCATAACTCAATAAAGCTAGGGAAAAAAGCTTCAGCTCCCACCTACAAAGCCGTTGGCTCTTTCCTTTCTTTTTTTTTTTTTTGGCCCACCGCTCGCATGTGGAACTTCCCCTAGCAGGGATTGAACCCACGCTCCCTGCAGTAGAAGCATGGAGTTTTAACCCCTGGACAACTAGGGAAGTCTGCCCTTGGCCCTTAATACTCATGATCTCTGCCCTGTCTATGCTCCACCCTTTGCTTGTTTCCAGACTATGGAACAGCTGGTTTTCTCTGCTTGGAACACTCTTTTCCCCAGATGCCCTTTGCCTTGTTTACTCCTATGTATCCTTCAGGTTTCTGCCTAAGTATCATTTCCTCCAAGAAGCCTTCCTTGCTTCTCCTCCAAGAGCAGCCTGAATGTCCCCTTCCTTCCAACCACGACTAAAAACTCTTTGGAGGGTAGGAACCAAGTCTTTCTTGCCTGTTTCCCAGCTTGGATTCTGGCCCAAACAAGTGGGTATTTCCAAAAGTTCACTTTCTGCCACCTTGCTTTCACAAAAGACATACATTAGTACTTGCTTTCACTAATGGAAAGAAATCTGAAGAGGATTTTCGCTTTTATGAGAAAAGACAAAAAGTGAAAATAGGTTCAGCGTTTGTTTTACAGCAAGCTATTATAGAGGCATTGGTGTACCCCCTAGCACCCCAAGCAGTGGGAGTGGCACCACCAAGCTCCTTCCCCAGGAACTACACTCAGCATCTCAACATTAAGCAGTCTTAGCTTTGAACTGTGCCTGTGAGCATTTGTGCTTTATCTGGACTTATTTTGTGTGTCCGTTAGCAAGTTGTGTTAAGGTAACTGATTCTTCACTTTAGCCATTTTGGCTTGCAAAAGGTTTCATAAGAACCCTCTACTTTCATATATCGAGGGGAACCTGTCATTGGTATTTGTGAAACAAATCAAGGTAAACTCCATGCATTAAAATGTCTAGGAAGATGTTGTTTATTATTTTGTTCCATTCTTTCCATTGCACTATTCCACATCTATTTATTTTCACTTTTTTTTTTTTTACAAAGGTACAAGGAATTTCAGAAACAATATTAAAACAATCAAACTGTTTCAGGCACGGTTTCATATTAAAAGCATAGATTGATTTCTGACTTCCTGCTTCCCTCTATGATACAATCTCAATGACTGTAGAGCTAAGGTGGATACACCCCAAATCTCATCTCCCAGTGCTGTCTTCATTCTCAGAAAGTTCCTGAGTCAACAGTCAGGGGGTTCCTAGGGTATGGAGTAAGGAGATGAGTACACATTCCGCTTGCCCTGAGCTTGAGGGCCCTGCAAATGCTGGGCGAGTTCCACTTCATCAGTCAAGAACAAAAATGTAATTTTAAAAAATGTCTTAAAAAAATATCTGATAAAAATTACCTATCCCTCTCCCTTGCTGTGAAATAATTTAAATAATTTATTGTAGATGTAAAAAAAAAAAAAAGAAGGAAAAAGAAGTTTGTTCATGGATGCCTTCGTATTGTTTTTAAGCACGAGGTCTGGGTCCCTCAGGGGTGGGGAAAGCTTGAGAAGGAAGGGATGTCTCTGTGTCGAGGAGGCATGTGGGAAGCTCTCCAGACTGGCCCCACCTCCATGCCTTGCAGCCAGTGCCTTTTGGGCTTGATGATTCTTCATTCTCTGAGGTTAGGTCTTCTCTTCTGAACTTGGGGATAATAACACCTAGCTGACCCGTATTAGAGTAGAATGTGTCAGTGATTGAGGGTGGGAGTGCTTTGTAAACTGTGACATGCTGGCCGCAAATGAGGTGGGAAAGGTAACCCCATCCAGTGGAGCTCTGCTCCCCTGACAATGCCTGGGATTTGGCCTTTGGCAAGCTTGGCAGGCCCCAGTGACTGAGTAAACCCAACAAGGAACATGGGCACCTGGTGTGTGGGGGCAAACAAGGGGACGCAGCCATGGCTCGGGGAGGGGGCAGTCGGGAGCACAGAGCCCTCACTGTGCTGCAGTCAGGGTCCCAGAGACACCCAGGACAATGCTTCTTGACTTTTTTTAGGAGTTTCTAGCATGGACTTAGAAGACAGGGTTGAAGTCCCAGATCCTGTCTGCACTCACTGTCCTCATCTTTACTGCAAATAGGTACAGAGAGACTAGCCCAGCGGGTCTCTGTCCTCTCCGTATTGCAGAATTACCTGGGAACTTATAAAAACATACACAAGGTCAGGCCCTACTCTGGAGATTCGGCTCCAGTTGGTCTGAGGTTGGACCTGGGTATCTGTATTTCCTGAAGGCTCCCAAGGGGATTCTAAGGGGATTCTAAGGGGATTCTAGCCTGGGTTGAAACCTAGCAGGCTAGGTGGCCTCCTGCAGTTCCCATCTTAGCTCCAGGATCGCCCTGTGCAATGGAAAAACTCATCGTCTGCATAGCCTTGGTAAAGAGGGGCACATTTAACTTCCAACATTCCCCGTCTCTAGCTGGGTTGTTGTACTGACCACTGAGAAGGAGAGAACCTTAGAGAAAGGGCTCAGAATACAGATTCACAAAGGAGGGACACAGAAAAACTCTCAGGCTGGAAGGGAAGTCAGAGCCATCTGGTCCCGCTTCCTTGCCTAGTACAGTCATCCTTCTCCAGAAACCCTCATGGCTGGGCAGCCATGGGGCTCTGCCGGCACACTTCCAGGCTGGGTCTCCCTACCTCCTGGGGACCTCTTCTATTACTTTGGGCTGAAATCTGCCTACATCATCCTGGAGGAGGCAGGCTCTGCGACCTCAGGGCTTTGGTGGTGGCAGTCAGTAGCCATGGGCACCACTCTGCTGTCTGCATCCCCACATAAGGGATAGTGTCTACCCATATTCAGCTGATTCTGGTTGAAGAGAGAGAGGATGGCCTCCCGTCTGTGTTCTACAATTAGGCTGAACCCTGACTTACTTCCCTGAAGTTAAACTTCCTCTGCCTCTTTGTCAACGTCTTTGGAGTTCCTGCAGCAAACCCAGATCATCACCCTACAAGTAGTTTTCCTTAGGTCAAGGCCAAGGTTTCTTATCTCAGGTGGCAGATCCTATAGAGGGCAGCGCATTCCAGGGTCCCCCTTGTTCAGATGGAGAAAGTGAGACCAGAGAGGTAATGATTTGCAAGAGGTCACTGAGCAACTCAGGGGCACAGCTGAGGCCAGAACCAACGGATTCCTGCCTTGTGGGCTGAGAACTGCACATCTGCTGCATCATAAACCGCAGAAAGGCAGATCCAGGAGACCAGGAGCTCAGCCCAGCCCGGCCATGAACTCTCTGGGGACCTTGATTACTTGCCTCTCTCTGGGCCTCAGTTTCTTCACCTGTAAAATAAGGAAGTTGGGCCACGTCACTGGTTTTCAAACTTCTAATATTTTTTTAGTAGCAGAATTATGTATTCCATAGAAGCTAATATATAAAACAGAAAGAAGGGGAGCTGACTGGTAGGAATGGAGGCGGGGGGGGCACAGCCCTCCTGACTTAGCCTTCCCCCCTTGCTATGGACCACAGTTTGAAAACCACAGGAAGGTTCACCTCCTAGGACCTTCCAGCTCTAACTTTCTACAATGTTCTTCCCCTTGAGAAGTTGCCGTGGACCCTTCAAAACAATTAAACAGAAGGCAAGGTATCATCTAAAAAGAGTCAATTCAGACACTGTTGTTTCAAGAAGGCAAATAGAAAATCGGCACCAGGTCCCACTGGAATCTTTCCGCAACCAAGAGTTTCATCTCTGGTAAAAAAATACAGAAATAGTGGCTGTTCTCGGGGGACCTGTGGTTTGGTTCCGGACCTCCCCATGAGCCGAGTGGTGTCCCTGAGGGCGAGGAGGGCAGAGGACCCTGCTCAGAGCCTCTCTGAGCCCATCCGCAAGTTTTTGATCTCCAGTTCCAATTGTTTGGCCTGGACCTCACGCTGGGTCACCAGCTCCCGGAGCCTTCGGATCTCATCTTGTTGCCGATAGAACATCTGCAGCAGCTGGGAAAGCACAGAGCAGAGGGGAAGGTCACCTGGGTGTCCTGGGGTCAGGACACCAGCAGAAAGCATTAAACATTGCCCCTTTTTGACTCAGAAAGGTGGGTGATTACATTTACGTGGCTGAGGCCTGAGGGGACAGCCATGGCATAGATCTTTTACAAAAACCTAGTTTTCTTCACCCAATTAATGAAAATCAAAAAGTCTTGACGTTTCAGACATTTTTTGCCTCCTTAGATTCCCCCATGGGTAGAGCAAAGGATACTTAGCCCTGAAGTCTTGGAGACTGGAGTTTTCACCACCGCTAAACTATGTGACCTCAGGCAGTTTACTTACCCTCTCTGAACTTCAATTTCCTCCTCTGGAAACTGGGGATCAGAAAACTAACCTCAGCATTATTATAATTGTTGCCACTGTATAGAATGGTACTAGATGTTGGGTGTCCCCCCTAAGGATTTCGTTATTCCACTGCTAACAACACCCCTCCGAGGGTGGTAGTATTAGTACCCCCACTCCACCACTGTGGAAACTGAAGCTGAGAGATTCAGCCATGCAGCGGAACTACTAAGCCCATGCGCCACAACTACTGAGCCTGCACTCTAGAGCCCGCGAGCCACAACTACTGAGCCCGTGCACCACAACTACTGAAGCCCCCGCACCTAGAGCCCGTGCTCCGCAAGAGAAGCCACAGCAATGAGAAGCCCGCACACCGCAACTCGCCCCCGCTCGCCACAACTAGAGAAAGCCCGCGCACAGCAACGAAGACTCAACGCAGCCAAAAATAAATAAATAAATAAACAAATTTATTTTAAAAAAGAGAGAGATTCAGCCCCCGCGTCCAAGGTCCTAGAAGTAGCGCTCAGTAGAGCCAGGATCAGAATCCCTCTGTGAGACCCCAACCCCTGTGTTCTTAGCTGCTACACGCGCCCAGGGCTGTTGAGAAAATACAGTCAGATGATATATTGAAGTGTCTACCTACCCAGGGCCTGGCACACAGTAGGCACTTAACAAATGTTGACTCTGAGCGCACAGAAAATCCTAGAGCATCAGAAGTGGAAAGGACTTTACTACCTACCAAGTCAAACCCTCGGCATTTTACAGATGGTTCCCTACCACCTGTAAGTAAACCCACCATCTTGACACGCAGATGGTGCTCATGACGTGTTTGTGAGTGAATCAGCAAAGTGAGTTAAGGGGCTAGGCCAGGCCACACAGCTGGTTATTTTCCTCGCCCCTCACTTTCTGCCGCCCCCCAGCTGCTCACAGCTGCTCCCCTCCCTTGGCAGGCCTACCCAACCCTCGTTCGCACCTCGTTCTCTGTCTTTGGTGGGGGACATTCGAAGATGTCAAAGCCATTTGTGAACCAAGTTTTCTTCTCCTCCAGTCTGTGTTCTGCCACCCACCGTGGCGCCCTCTCCTCCAGCAGGGAGAGGGGCCTCCTTCCATCTTCTGCAGCCAGCTTTTCTGTCTGGTTGAAGAGGCGAGGCGAGGTGTGGGGCCTGGGCTTGGAGGGGGGTCTCTCTGGGGGCAGAGGCTGGGGGCTCAGCAGCTCGGAGCCAGGCCTAAGGGACATCAGGACTGGCCCTGGGAGGGAAGCAAAGGGCTGGGTGAGGACTGAGTGCCCCTGAGCAGGTGGGCATGGGGGGCACTGACACACGCAGACACACACAAGCCACACGGAGACACAGAGATACACATGACACGTGTGGGCGATATGGCTACACGCAGACAGGCACAAACCCACAGACCAGGGCAAGCAGAGTGCAAATACACACTCGTGTGATTATCTAAGCGAGGCTTGGTTTGTAGGGACTGCCCCAGAATACCGCGGGCCCCTCGCGCCTGCACTGCACTCTGCCGTCGACCAGTTCATGAATTCTCCCAACACCCCAAGAGGCAGGGGAGGCAGGCAACACGGCTACAATGAGGAAACCGAGCCCAGAAAGGAGCGAGACTGTCTAAGGGTTACACATAAAAGGGAGGGGGCGGCAGGCAGCTCCGGGGGCTGCAGCAGGGGTGGGAGCACACACTGCCTCCCCCTGCGCAGGCCCTTATGTTGACAGGCCAGGGAGGGAGAGTCAGGGCAGGCAGAGTGGGCAGAAGGGCCCGGGCGGGGGCTGCTGCCTAGAGGGTTTCTGGGGTCAAAGAGTAATTGCAGAGGTGGCGGGAGGATGGGCATGGGGCATCCAGCTGAGACTCTCCAGTCACTCTGCACAGCCCAGAATTTAAAGACGTTTTCCCTGGAGCAAAATCCCTTGATTCGGAGGGAGTTTCCTGAGCCACTTGGGACAAGCCCCTCCCTTCCTGGACGCATATGCGACCATCCTAACCACTGGGAACCGACTGTCAAGGACCAGTCCTCTGGGGTTACGGGAGGACACAAATACCAGCCAAACCCCTCTCAGCTACTTGGGGCCACTGGACGCTCTGTTGTCCCCCACATTCAGTCGAGGCCTTTTCTCTGCCTTCCTCACCTTTATTCATCCCACTGAGCCACTCCTGGGCCGTCAGAGACGGCTGGGCACCTGCCGTGGGCGGGTAGATGTCCTCTTGGTAGGATTCCGACTGCAGGAGAAGTCAGGACAGTGAGAGCGGGGATGGTGGGGGAGGGCCCTTAGAGATCCAGGGGTGCAGACTCCCCCCAACCCCTGTGAGTTGAGGAAACTGAAGCCCAGAGAGCAAAGGGATGTGTCCAACGTCACAGAGCAACTCAAGAGCAGAGGTGGGAGGGACAGCGTGCTGACCACGAGAAAGGCTTCCCCTTGAGGAGGGGCCATCAGCCTCCCTGTTGCTCCCCCAGGGGCGTGGGCTCCAGGCTCCAGGTCCCGGGGTCCTTCTTCTCCAGGAGGGGTTCCCTACCTCCCTCGGAGACGGCTCACACCACCCTTACCCGCCGGGGTACAATCATGGATATGGGCTCAATGAGGCTTTTGGTTGTAATCAGCTTGTAGAAGCGGAAGATCTCACAGGAGGACACGTCGAGACCTCTCTTTGGCATAACACCTGTGGGGAGATGACCAAGGAGGGCCAAGAGATTCCTCAGGGTGGGCTGGGGCCCCGGGGACCCAGGGTGAGTGGCAAAGCCAGGCTGAACACCTGGAAGTGAACAGAGACCAGCCTCTTTCCACTATCCTTCCCTTAACAAACAGTCGTACATTGGACCAGGTCCCGAGCTGGGGAAATGGGGTTGAAATCCTCAGACTTTCTCCCCTACCTTCAAGGATTTTAGCTAAACTTTTACAGAAGGTGAGCTCTGCTCAAGGCCCTCCATCACCCTCCCCATAGCTCCCAACCCAGATGCTCTTATTAGAGCAATGCCAGCTTTCCTTTGATTATTAGTGTTAGCATACTATCTTTCTCCATCTTCACTTTTTTTTTTGGTCGTGCAGCGTGGCCTGCGGGATCTTAGTTCCCTGACCAGGGATTGAACCCGTGCCCCCTGCAGTGGAAGCACAGAGTCTTAACCACTGGACCGCCAGGGAAGTACCTCCATCTTTACTTTTAATCTAGCTGTGTCTTTATATATAAGTGGGTTTCCTGTAGAGGGCATATAGTTGCATCCTGTTTTGTTTTGTTTTGTCTTGAATCCCTAAACACACTTAAAAAGTAGGACCTCTCTTAGGTCAGTGTTCCCCAACTCCTTGCTACTGCTGTAACTGCTTAACTTTCAGCTAGAACACCTTCATCCTCTCCCCATGCTGTGCTCTGCTTCCCTTTTGGCTCTTCAAGTCTTGCCTCCTCCAGTAAGCCCTCCCGGACTTCTTCCTGTGTGCTCCCAGAGAACCTGCCGCATACCTCAGCTAGTGCTCCCATGACTCAGAGCGTTGACCCGCTGTCTCCCTCCCCAATGAGGGGCCCTCTAGGGCGAGGCCTGACTCATCCCTGTCTCCCCAGGCCCCAAGTGGCCTCAGTGTCCCACACTCACCGATCCCCTTCTGTGGATTATAGGAGCGGTACTCGGTCAGGTAGTTCAGGTGAGGTTTGTCGGTGCTGACCTCATAGTAGCGGATGTTCCCGTCTCCCTGTGGAGGGGAGGGCACCGCTCAGAGCCGGGCCCCATCAGCCCCCCACCTGGTCCCCACTGCCACACAGCAGAAACCTGGAGAGGACTGTGAGTGAAGAGCTGGCAGAGCCGCCTCTCACAAGGGCAGAGCAGAGGACTGTCACCAAGGCAGCAGGGCACCAAGGCACCTCATTTTAACACTTAGTCCCCACAACCATGACCCAAAGCCCACACAGATGCCTCCAAGGCAGAGGCTCTGGGAGCACAGGCCTGAACCCCACTCCCATCTGAGAGCCGCACACCAAGGTCAGAAGTGGGGTTCCTGAGACGCTGGGGCATTTCTGGTTGTCACTGTCATAATGACTGGGTGGGGAGGTGGGTGCTGCTCCTGGCATTGGTGGGTAGGGGCCAGGGATGCCAAGTACAAGATAGTCTTACCCAATGAAGACCTGTTCTGCCTCAAATTTGAAGGTGCCCCTGACAGGAAACACCAACTGGTCCCTCCTTATCTGGACCCAGAACTTGGGAGGGACTAGCTCAGGGTGTCTGGCAAAGCCCTGGTCCCAGGTGTTCTTGTGGAGCCAGGAAGGTGAGAGAGGGGCGAGGCTCACCACAGGGGGAGAGTATCTAGCCACTCCTGCCTGTCCCTGCCCCTGTCCCGTACCCCAAGGGCACCAGGCCGCCACCTCCCTCCCGTGTCAGACTGACCTTCCCCACCACGTAGAGCATGTTGGTGTCCGAGTCATAGAACGGAAACAGCACGCCTGAGGAGCCATCGAGGTCCTCCTCTGCGAGAGGCACAGAGAGGTCATCCTGCAAGGGAAGGGAGACCAGGAGGGCCTATGGGTCACTCATGGAGTGCCCCTTGGTGGTGCTAAGAATTCCTGTCATAGGGCTGTGTGTGTGTGTGTGTGTGTGTGTGTGTGTGTGAGAGAGAGAGAGAGAGAGAGAGAGAGACCACCTCCTTTTCCCTTGCTAGCATTTTACCTTTAACGAATCATTTCTCATACACATGATGTCATTCCAGCCCCCCTCCTCCTGTTTTATATCTAGTATAATGCAAGGAGATTCAGACAGAGAGGAAGCGATCTGTCGAACTCCGGCCAAGTGCTCCTTGAAATCAATACTACTTGGCCTGGTCTTCATCCCCATCCCCACCCCCACCCACCTTGAACAGGCAGCTCCTCTTGCCCTATTTCACTCTAAGGGCTTGCTCCAGCTGTTCCCTCCGCCTAGAAGGCCCTTTCCTTCTCCTGCCCTCCCCCCCACCTCCAAGTCCCGATCCCAAACTCAGCCACCTCCCCTCCCCCACGCCGAGGCTTCTCCTGGGTCCTGACCCCTCCCCTTCCTTGAACAACAAGATGCACAAGGTGTGGCGCTGGTGAGGGGCGCTGGTGGGGCTGCTTGGGAGACTCACCTGGTCCCACAGGGCCATCTGCCGGTTGTTCCATCGGGATGTGCCCGTGGACAGCAGCTTCTTCAGGTTCCCCAGAAATAGCACTTTGTTGGCCCGGTGCCCCTTATAGCTGGCTTCCTGGAGGGACATGTGTGGTCAGGGACACCCTGTCTTTGCTTATGCTGCTGCTCCGCCTGGAATGCCTTCTTTTCTCATCCCAGCTCTGCCTGGAGAATCCTTCCAGAGGCACCACCTCCAGGAAGCCTTCCTGGGTCTCTCCCATCCACATAAAGTCTCTCCCACTATTTTTGTTGAGAGTTCTTTCTCTGAGCTAGGACAGAAGTAAACTTCGGCCCAGCTCCATGTTTTTGCTAAAAGATTATTATTGAGCATCCACTACATGCAAGGCATAGGGCTGGGTGGCCACTGACACCTGGGATATCTCATTTAACCCTCCCAGAGGAAGGATTAATGGCCCATTGTTGCAGATGAGAAAATAGATGCTCAGAGATCAGAAAGTGCTTGTCTAAGGTCACACAGTGGATAACAGTGGTGCCCTGAGGTTTCTTGACCCCGTGTCATGCCTCCTGACAGAGGTGAGGCACAATGACAAGCTTTGGAGTTAGACCAGGTTCCAGTCCCAGCTTTCAATGTGAGCAAGTCCCTTAGCCTCTCTTCAGCCTCAGTTTTCTCATCTGAAAAATGGGTATGACATATTCTACACCCCCCCCAACAGATGGGGATAAACACGCATGAAGGCTTGGCCAGAACATTAACATCATTACTGCTCTGTTCTCAGACCTCCCCCACCCTGCCATGCCCACTCCACTCCTTGCTCCTCTGACCCCAAGCCAGACCCCAGCCCAGCACTGACCTGGAGGACGGCCCCTGCTCGGGGGTCGAGAACCCGAATCTTGCGGTCTTTACAGGTAGTGGCCAGCAGGCTGCCGTTGGTGTTGAAGGACATGGAGAGGATCACGTCTTGGTGACAGTTAATTGTCTTCACGGGGCTCATGATTACAGCCTCCTTTGTATCCAGGTTCCAGACCATCACCTGCATGGCAGAGAGCCGGCTCTGAGCACAGTGCATCCCCCTGAGCCCCGCCCTGGCCTCCACAGTCACGCGCCAGCCAGGCTGCAGTGAAACACGGTATCCCCGGGAGGGAAGCCACAGATGGCAGTTTGGCCAAGAGGCCTCGGGTGGGAGGATGGGTCTGCTGGCTGAAGCTGCCACGTGGCAGGAGGGGGAAGTGGGGAGTCAGGCTATCTGGCAGTGAAAAGAAAACGCCATCTGCTTGGAGCAATGAAACATCCATGCTGGGAGGACCCCAGGGGACCAGATAGTCCAGGGGGTTTCAAACAGTCATTAGCAACAGTTTCTACCACACAGATAACAAGGGCTGCCATGTTTAGCTACACAGGCTGTGCACTGCACAGCTCCAGGGCAACCCATTCCCGTAGTCTATAATGCGAATAGCGCCCCCTGGAGTTGTGTACAGATAAACTGTACAACCATAAGCAGTAGCACACCCTACATAAATAGATAATAGAGCACTTCTGATCAGAAAGGGGTAAAGGACCTCTCAACCACTCCCATCCCACATCAACCCCATTTGTGTGCAGACTGAGAAACTGAGGCCCAGAGAAGACAAGGGACTTTCCCAGGTCATACTGCAAGTCAGGGACGGAGTGGGAATAGAATCTAGGTCTCCTCTACTGTGAATTTTCCCAATCCACAGGGCCCACAGCTTGCTAGCTTTGAAATCAATGGAGCAGGGGGAGGCATCTCTGGGCAGGGTCCAGCCCATCCCCTCCAGAAAGACTAATGGATTGAATAGTGTCTCCACCACCCCTCCGCCCCCACCAAACTCATATCTACCTGGGACCTCAGAATGGGACCTTATTTGGAAACAGGGTCTTTGCAGGTGTAATGCGTTACAGTGAGGTCATACTGGATTTGGGTGGGCCCTACATGCAATGACTGGTGTCATTGTACGAAGAGGAGGGGATGTATAGATACACAAGAGAAGAGGGCAGAAGACAGAGGTGGACTGGAGTGATGCAGCTACAAACCAAGGAATGCTTGGAGCCACGAGAACCCAGAAGAGGCGCAGAGGGGCTTTTCCCTAGAGACTTTGGAGAAAGCATGGCTCTCTCCTAACACCTTGATGTTGGATTTCTGGCCTCCGGAACTATGTGAGAATACATTTCTGTTGTCTTAACCCACCAAGTTTGGTCATATGTCAGGGTAGCCCTAGGAAACTAATACACAGACCCACCTTGTAGTCATAGCCGGAGCTGAAGAGGATACTGGCGGCTGTGGGGTGCCACTCCACCAGGCCCACTCTGCGGGCGTGGCCCACCAGCTCCTTCTTGCAGACTGTGAGGTTCTTTGCCAGCAGCTGCTTGGGGATGTCCCAGATTTTAATCTGTCAGGGAAGACACGGTCCAAGGGAAGGGTTAGCTGGGGTCACCTTGGCCGTCCACGACCCTGAGCCGCAGAACTGGCAGTGCTCAGCAGACAGTCCGGGGGAGCTCTCTCTGTGTCTACCTCTCACTCAATGGAGAGGCAGCTGGGGCCCCTTAGAGAGACAGGCGCTTTGCCAAGGTCCTCCAGCCCAAGCAGGGGCTGGAGATGAGCCTAGGCTTCTGGTAATGTTTGCCATTCTTAGCGATCTGAGGCAGTGGGTGAGTGGATGGGCCACAGGCCTGATTCCCAGGCTGAATGTCAGAGCAAACCTGCCTCTCAGCCCTCAAGTACAGTGCTCTACCCCCTCCTGGTCCCAAAGGCTCAGGGTAGAGCTTCAAATGCCAGGAGAAAGGGTCTATGCTATCTCCTCAGGGAGCTAGGGAGCCAGCGCAGCCTCTGGAGCAGGACAGGGCAGGGATAACCCCCAACCAATTCCGTTACAGGGGCCCCCTTGGATGGCCCGGAAGAGGAAGACTAAAGGCCAGAAGGCAGGGTTGGATGGGGTCACAGGCCTGTATTCCACAGTGAGGGCCTGGGAGGAGGGGCTGGGGCTTCCTTCCAGAGCAGTGTTGTTGAGGATGGAAGGGGCTTACATGGTAGAAAGTCATTTCCCCATCACAGAGGCATACAAACGGAGGAACAGAGGATGCTACAAAGGGTGACAGAGCCCAGGCCGGTGTTGACTTAACGTCCCTTATTGTCCTGCAGGGCTCTCAGGCCCCTATGTGGTTGTACGTCCTCTTTCTCTTAGGATCTATGGGCTTTCAGGTAGACTTCGCTTTTAATTCAGCATTTGTTTCCTGGTCATCCTGAACTTAAAACCGGAAAGCCAACCTCACAATAGTGCCAGGCTCCAGATAGATGGAGTCTGGTCAGGGCTGTTACCAAACAGAACTGGACCTGGCTGGAGGACAGACTCTGGGCAGGCCTGTTTGGTAGAAACAGACACCGTCCCTCAGAGCTAGAGGGTCATCCCTGCCACTCCCAATAGTTGTGTCCACTCCTCCTGCCCCCGGGGCAACTGGGAAGGGACGGGTGATGAGGCTAGCTAGGAATTTAATAAAGACCTTGAAGGGAGCCTTCAAAGCAGGCCTGAAAGGGCAGGTATTCCAGGAGTGAACACAGAGTCAGATACTCGATATCCTGTCAGAAGCCCTACACTCATTGGAGACAAGGTCAGTTCTCACAGGGCCCAGCTGTCCCTTTGGTGAAGCCACATCGGCAGACACTGTCCTTTATGTTCCTCAGCAACCCTCATATGGAAAATGACACAAGTCCTCTTAGAACTTTCTACCTGCTTCTCTCTATGAACGGGTCTGTTTCCTTTGATCAGACAGTGAGGCTATTTCCTTTTTTTGCCTTGGCTGCCAGGCAGCTCCAAGCTAAGCCTGGAATTCAATAGCTGCAACCCTCCATAGTTAAATTCCTCCATCTGTGGCTGTTGCTCTTTAGGGAAGTGGAACAGCTCAGTGGAAAAAGATTGGGCTCTGGAATCAGGCCTTAGTCGGAACCCTGGCTCTGCCTCCACAAACTGTGTGACCTTGGGCAAATTGCCACATTTCTCAGATCCTCAGCTTCTGCATCAGAAAAACATCCTACCTTGTGGGGTTGCTGGGACGACTGAGTGAAATGATATGTGTAATGAGAGTCAGGAACACAATGGGCTCACAATAAAGGGTAACTATGACTTTCATCCTTATTTCAATCATGTGATCATATCTGTGTCTTTTGTTTTAAGCCATACCCGCTGAGTTTTAGAAGTAGGCAGAGAATACATTATAAATAACACCAAATATTGTGGAGTCAGGGACTGTGATCCTGGTACAGAACAGGGGCTCAAAAAGTTGGTGGGACTGAAGCTTTTGGGATGGTTTTGGTGTTCACATTCATTTAAGGCTCCCACTCTTATCCTTTTAAATCTTCCCTCCCCACTGTCTATGAGATTATGTGGCACAATATTTTCAGGCCACAGTAAAAATGCCCTTCACAGCATTTTACAGTTCCCCCAAAAGATGGGCTTTCGCACTGGGAAATGAATCTCACTGGATTTTCGTTAGACGGTTGGGAGCTATTATGCTCATTTTATAGATGGGGGAACTGAGACCCATAGAGAGGAGGGGTGGTACCCCGAGTCCCACGGAGCCCAGAGCTTCTCCTCCTCAATCTAACTTACCCCCTCCGCACACAGTGACCTCACCTCGTGAAGGATGAAGGAATCAGGAATGTCAGAGCTGAGTCTAGACACCATGCCGTCTCCCTCTGCCCCAGTCCCACTCCTCTCGGGAAAGGGAAACGCCTCACGCACTGACACTCACCGTGGCATCTTCAGAACAGGAGGCGATCTCAAAATCATTGAAAGGGTTCCATTTGACGTCTAAGACGTTCCCTCTGTGCCCGCAGACCTTTGGGTAGTGGGGGTCCAACTTTCCCGTCTGTAAAACAGTACCCAGGAAGGTTGGGGAGGGAGGGGGCTAATTCCACTTTAGCACCTGGAGGGTCCCTCGGGCAGCAATCACCGAGTAGACAAGAAAACGTACGGGGCAGAACTGGGAGTGAATCTAGGACTTACCGCTAACCCCTGTGTGATCCTGGGGGAGTCACGGCACTTCTCTGAGCCTCAGTATCCTCCTCAGTAAAATAGAGGCGATGATAGGTATTTCAGAGCGTTCATGTGAGGATCATAGGAGACGAGGTGTGGGAAGGGTCTAGCACAGTGCCTAGCACAGGGTAGGTGTTCAGTAAAAGGATGTTTCCCTTCATATACTGCTGGTGGGAATGCAAAAATGGTGCAGCCACTGTGGAAAACAGTCTGGCAGTTCCTCAAAAGGTTACACAGAGTTAGTACATGACCCCGTAATTCTACTCCTAGGTATAGCCTCAAGAGAAGTAAAAACATAGGTCTACAAAAAGACTTGTACACCAATGTTCACAGCAGCATTATTCATAATAGCCAAAAGGTGGAAACAATCCACATGTCCATCAATGGATAAATGGATATCTGAAATGCAGTATATTCGCACGATGAAATATTATTCAGTCAAAGAAGGGAATGAAGTACTGACACATGCTTTGACGTGGGTGAACCTTGAAAACATCATGCTAAGTGGAAGAAGCCAGACATAAAAAGCCACATACCGCATGATTCCACTAGATGATGTACCGGATGTAGTTTCACTGCTTGAGCAAATGAACACACCCCCTGGTACCTGGAATTCAGAATCCTGAATAATGATATGAAAAATCCAGAATAGGGGGAATTCCCTGGCAGTCCAGTGGTTAGGACTCAGCGCTTTCACTGCCGAGAGCCTGGGTTCGATCCCTGGCTAGGCAACTAGGATCCCACAGGCCATGCAGTGGGGGGACAGGGGTGGGGGGCGGTGGGATCCAGAATAGGTAGATCCATAAAGACTGAAAGCAGAGCAGTGGTTGCCTAGGGCTGGGGGGAGGGGGCAATGGGGAGTGACTGCTAATGGGTGTGGGGTTTCTGGGGGTGATAAAATCATTTTCAAATTAGGGGTGATGGTTACACAACCACGTGAACATCTAAAACTCATGGAATTGTACACTTAAGTGGTGAATTTTGTGGTATGTGAGTTATACTTCAATTAAAAAGAAAGAGCATTTTCTTCCCTTCCCCTCTTTCCTGCTGAGAATTCCTGTCCAGGTGATAGGAGGACACACAGTTTTCACAGCTCAGGCTACACGGCCCTGAAGCTGAGATTTCCTGGGCCATGGGACAACTACACCAGTTCAGCCACAGAAACCAGCAGCTGGCAGGGACCAACACACACATCTTACACACCACACTGCACTGCCCTGGCAGGACAGGGACCAGGACCAGGCCCTCTGCCTGCCAACGCAGGCACCGCCACATCCACTAGCCAGCCTCAGGTTCTGCAGCCCACCCACCGGAAGGCTCCACTTTTATATCTAAGTGAGGGAGAAAGTGGAGAAGAAAACTGGCCAACACCCACCCATTCACCACATCTTTACGAGGAACCTAGGGGATGGGCCCTATGCGAGGTGCTGGGTGAACATAAGACGTAGTACTTGACTTCACAGAACTAACTGTCTCATGATATTTAAAAATTAATTTTGAAGAACAGAGTGAGCTCAGGGAATACCCACGGTCTCTCCTTCCCTCACCTCCCAAACTCTGCAGAGACCACTGCACTCTTGTGGGACGTCCTGAGACCGTGCCCAAGGGAGATGAAGCAAAGACCAGTGATGGTCCCTGGCCTTGCTTACTAGGGCAGCAAAGCAGGGAGCTGCTGTGAGAACAGACACAGGACACCCCTGTTCACCCCTGGTAAACTAGAGGACAGACAACCGAGACTCTGGTTCATGGCGGTTTTATGCATGCATCTTAGTAGCTCTGCAAACAGGCTGTAGTCCCGGGCTCCCCTTCAGAAGTACTCTGCCCAATTCCGATCTTGCCCCTCGGGAAAGGGTCTCAGAAACCTCACCCTAGACTGGATCCCTTCCTGGAGGGGGAACGCTATAAGGCACATTATTTGACAAACTGGAATGTGAATGGTAGATTAAAGTATTGTTGCAACGTTAAACTGAGTGAATTTGACAATGTCCTGCGGTTACCTAAGAGAATATTCCTATTTTTAGGAAACACACAAGTATTTAGGGATAAAGAGCAAAGATGTATGTAATTTACCCTCAAAGGGTTCAGAAAAAAGAATACTTTCACATACACATTCAGAGAGAGAGAGAGAGAAAATAAAGGAAAGACTTTGGACTTGTGTCATTTGATAATGATGTGTGAGGAGGTGAGCAAAAGTTCCATTTCTTTTGGATGGGTCTGGCTCCTCCATGGATAGAGAAAATGAGCCCCTGGGCAGGGAAGAGAGCCTCTGTACATTGTCTGCCTCAGACCCGGGGGTGCCTGAGAGCCATGCCTGGCTCTGATGGGCGCTCCTCCCAGGCCTCTAAGAGCAGAGGCCCCAGCCCCACACAGCTTCTCTTCCTTCTCAGCAAGCAAGGGATGGCTGCTCCTCCCCAGAGGCTGGCAGGCTCTGTGTCTAAAAGGGTTTGTGTGGAGGACTGACATTAACAGACATTAGCCAGTCTGATGGGCTATTGACCAGGCTGCTAAAAGCCCTGTCAGGGCAGGGACATTTATAATTAGGGGGCCACTGCTGCCTTTCAGCCCATTAGGCCAGCAGTCAGCCAGGGACCGGCCTCTGATTTACAGGGGTGCAGGCTCTAAATCAGAGGAGATACACCCGCCCTCCTTGTAGACCCCAGGCAGCTGCTCCGCCTGGAGAGACGCCACCTCTGAGTCTCTGAGGGGCCACCCTGGGGCAGACGGAGTGAATGGGACTGTAGGACCCATAAGACAGAGCCAGGTGGGTGGAGGACCTCAGTTGCCAGGATGGGAGAGGCTGTAGGGCTATTGTTGTGACCTCTAGGGCTCACAGGGAGCCGGCTGTCCCCAGAACAGCATCAGAGTCATGGCCTCGGGAGACCCTCCCCACAGCCCAGGTGGACATGGGAGGCAGAAGTAGGCTGCACAGTGTAGAAGAGGTTAGGCAGGCAGGCTGATCTGGCTTCCTGGGTTTGAATCCCTGCTACAGCACTTACTGCTGTGTGATCTGGGGCAAGTGACCTCAGCTCTCTGTGCCTCAGTTTCTTCATCTACAAAATGGCAACAGTAGTAGAATCTCATAGGGTGGGTATGAGGATTAAATGAGTTCATACACATAAAGTGCTTAAGACTCTGCCTCGGGAATCCCTGGTGGTCCAGTGGTTAGGACTCAGCGCTTTCACTGCTGGGGCCTGGGTTCGATCCCTGGTCGGGGAACTAAGATCCGCGCAGCACGGCCAAATGAAAAAAAGAAAAAAAGAAAAAAAAAGAAAAAGACTCTGCCTGGTACATGGTAAGCTGTCAGGAAATTCACCAGTTTAAGTTCATCAGAACTCACACATTTATTAATTGTGATAATAATTAATCACAATTACCCAGTTTTATTGTTGCTCAGTATGTTTCAGAGGGGCCCAGGGGTATACTTAGTGTGAGGCCAAGCTTCCATGGGAGGCTCCTATCACTTCCTACACAACTGATGGGCAATGGCTCCAGGGGGGCCCTCAGTGAATAAATTGATGTCTTGATGGTATTCCCACTGACGGACTCAAGCACATTATCACATCTATAAGGAACAGGTTTGCAAGTATTTTCTTCAGGAATCATAATTTAGGGAGTCATTTATGTGCCAGGCCCTGTGTTAGGGGCTCTGCTAATATTATTTGATTTACCTCCAACCACCCCAGGAAGTAGTGCAAAAATCCCCATTGATAATGCAGAAGCTGGGGATCGGAAGGGTTGACAATCAGAGCCACTCCATCCACGGCAGAACCATGAGAACTGGGAAAGCTTCCTCTCATTCTTGGTCTGCCTCTTGCTATCCTCACACCATAGTTATCATCAGCATCATGGAGGCCTTTCACTGAGGACCTACTATGTGCCAGGTCCTATGCCACGTGCAAGTGGTGGCAAAAGGTGAATTACTCATGGTCCATGCCCTGCAGGAGCCTCCAATCTGTGGAGGTGACAGGATGTAGTGTACTCAGGGCTCACAGAGAGAAACAGAGGCAGAAGAAAGGCCCTGGGGGGATTAATCAAAGAAGGCTTACTGGAGGAGGAGGCCTTTCAATTGGGCCTTAAAGAAAGGGAGACTTTGACCAGGCTATGGTGAAGGGGAGGCATTTCAAGTCAGAAAGGCTGGGCCTTAGGTAGGTTTTAAGCAGAGAGGATGCTAAAGCAGACAGCAGGGAAGGTAGATTGATGGGTAGGACAGTAGAGGAGGTCAGAGAAGAGGGGAGAGGCTGTGGGCATGGAGACAGTCACCCTGCACAGAGAGAGATGCCCATGGAGAGATGGACAAGTGGACAGATGAGTCATGTCCTAACTAGAGGGGGTGAGACTTAGCCAGAGGGCTCCCCAGAAGAGACAGTTGAGCAGGGGAAAGATGACAGGAGTGTTCCCTAATCCTGCGAACACACATGCTGCTAAAATGCAAATCACGTTCCCAGGAAGCTTTAGGGCAGAGCGTCATTCATCAGCCCTCCCCTCACATACACAGATGAGCATGGGGAATGTTCACCATAGAACCCCACACCCAGGGCTGGAAGTGATGAACTGCAGAGGCTATCTGGTAACCCTGCTTGGTTACCTCCAGAGATGGGAAGCTCACTTCCTTCCTAGCTGGTTTATTCCACTTTTAGACCTTGCTGAACTGTGAGAAAGCGCTTCTTACTCGGAGCCTGGTGTAGCGTCCCTGTGGCCCTCCCTGCTCCCCTCACTCTCCATTTCTGGTTCTAGCTCTGTCTTTTGGGACCCCATAGATACCCCCACTCCCATCCCACTCCCCCGGCCCCAAGGCCAGCTCCTTGATATTTGAAGGCAGAGGACCCATTCCTT